GCACAGGAGACAATATCCAGCAAAGGCCCGATCCCAATCCGAGGTACCTTGTCCATGCAACAGTGAATGAAGGGTGCGGACCTGCGCCACAGTGAGTGGGGGAGCTTGCTTGAGATCCCCAAGGTTGGCCAACATACGCTCAGCCGCACCAACACACCTGCGACTCAGCTTGTTAGGGATGTTTGTAACATCCATCACGAAGTAAGCAAAACGCAAGGCCGACAAGAAGGACGAAGCTTTGGAGGGCGGGGCTTGCGAGCCATCTAGGAACTGCATGTACCTCCAGAACATGTCGTCAGTGAAGGGGTCGAGGTTGGCACCAACAATTGTGTCAAACCACCTCAGGAACGTGAGGATGCTACCCGCTCTTTTGGAGGCAGTTCCTGCAGCCCTCGACCCAATACACGCCTCCAATGCCAGCGGATCAACCTCACACTCCGGATGCATTTTGCGATTTCTACGCATGATAACAATCCACTTATCAACTGCAAGCCTCACTGCTTTACTTTGCTGGGCATCAACGTCCACATCAGAGAGGACCTTGAAAACATTGGACGCGAGGTCACCAGACACGAACGGCTCCTCCGATTCATCCAAGGAAGCGAAAGGATCACACGGAGGCGACTGAGGGGTCCAGATCCCCGTCTCACGCATTGAAAGGGTTGGCATTTTGAGTTCAGAAAACACCGAGGACTCACCAAAGATTGCACTGACAGCAGGCAGCTCCCAAGGCAAAACAACATCAGACATGCCCCCATCCGCCAAACGCACAAAGTTGTCGGCGAACACATCACCCACGGTACGGGCCATTTTTGACGGAGGCTCGTCAACAGGAAGTTTCTCAGTCTCGGACAATTGAGGGTCAGCCTCTGAGGCGTCATGCTCCTCGGACTGGCTCGGCAGGTCATCACGTACACATGATTTGCATGAAGTATGCTCAGAGCTGAGCTCAGACATGTCAGGGTTGACTTCAACCAAGAAGTCTTCCATCGCTGAGACGGGGGAGTTATCATCTCCCCAATCTAGGGCATCATCTTCCGCATCCGACGGCCTTGGCAACACGAACAAAGGTCCAGAGGACTGCACACTAGGCCCAAAGGGAGGCAACTCCAAGTGAGCAATAGGAAGGACTGGTGGTCCATCATCTTCGCTGACATGGCCAACCGAACCATCATCCCCCATTATATCCGGCAGACTGTCAGTAGACATGGCAGCAAAACAAGTCAACCTGGGAGAGGGAGCAGCTGGCGGTAACACGACTGCACCCAATGGGCAGCAGCACCGAACCGATTCCAGTCAGACACCGTGAGGCAGAGAAGGAACCTGGCCCCTTCACTCCGACTAATGAGGAGGCCACGGAAGCTGGGTTCAACAATGTAGCTGAATATGTCAGGCGGTGCCGCAACACGGCGCTGAAGGTCCGGTACGTGATAGTGCAGGGGTCGAATGCGAACAGGCGCAAAGACAAAGGAAGGCACTGGCACACGGAAATCGTCTGATGACGATGTGGACACACTGGATGCGGACAGATCCATCCACCCCCCCGATCGCGGGGAAGCTTGCACGACACTAAAGCCTTAGCACCCAGTACAGAGCCACTAAATTAGACGCGGCCCCAAGCCTCAAAATTTTTGCACTGAGCTGTGGAGCCAGCGCTGCAAACACAGATCTCCAGCAAGCGAAGTTCCGCAAATTGCTGTTCGTAAAATTCAAGCATGACAAGCAACAGAAACCTTTTGGGTTGCAAACCACGAACAAACGGCCCACACCGTTTTTCGAAGAGTCGATATGGAAGCAAGCGGTAAAACACCATTTGCTCGCGAACAGTAAGCAACGAACGAAGTGGCGGGGACACGGAGTGAGTTGCAACAAGACAGAACCTCAGAGTTCTGACACGCACTTCTTCACTACTGCTCTCAAGCAGTTCCAGGCGCCTCAAAACTCATCCTAGGCCATGCCAACAAGACAAGACATGCGTCGCAGTCAACCCAAACATGCTTTAGGGACTTTGGGCAAACCAAACATGCTCATGCCAAGTCATGCAGCAGAAAAACTCTCATGCTTCTCTCTGTACAGTCAAACACCACATGGCACCAACTGGGCAAACATTACAGGTGAATTTTTCTTTCCGAGCGGGCAAAACGGTCGCAGCTCCAAGGCTAAGTGAAAAGGAAAAACTACCAGGACACCGATCTACAGCAGAGACTACCTGCCTACAGAAAATGTCGCCCCGCCACCCGCAGGTAACGGAGCAAACAGGTGAATTTTTCTTCAGCAAGCGCAGAGCGTTACCCAGTGGGCGTCCTTCATGCAAACGAATTCGCCCGGAGCCCCTTTGGGGCGAGACATTGTCTCTCGGGCAGTCGGTCACCCTGCTACGGCAGAACCACAGCTCAGAAGCCGGGAATGTGGTGCACCCACAAGCCGTCTACAGGGAACTATTTTACAGCAGACTCAGCAGGGAAGGAGTTGCAGCCTCAGCCCAATGGCCGGGAAACTGGATGCCCCCAGTGAAGCAGCACTGGTTTCCGCACACCTAGGCCCGGGCGGTGCACAACCCCCCAAGGGTCCCAGGATGTTGCAAATCTGGTCAAAACACGCCTGGGGTGGACCCCTGGAATGCCTAAAGTAGCCCGCATCATGGGGGCAATATTTGGCAACTACCCTCCAAACGCCCGTCCATTCCGGCCTCCCTTGGGAGGGGCCCCAGTTGTTGGCATCGATGAAGGCCGGAAGGGGAACCAACCTCGTGCCTTGCGGCCTGTGGCTCAGGTTTGAAATGCCAACATCCTTGGCATCTACCCCACAGGCATACAAATGCAACAAGGTGGCCAAAGTGGCCAGAAGGTAGGAGTGCTCACGGAGACCATTGGCAACCATCCGTTGGCGCTGTTCACGCCAAAAGGGGCCACGATCCCTGCCCTTTGAGCCCCCCATCAGTGCTTCTTGAAACGGAGGGTCTGCTGACCCGGGGGAAGCTCTTTCTTCTTCTTTGCACGACTCGCCGGCTTTGGGGCAGGCTCCTTGGCAGGGCCGGCGTCGCGTGCACTGGTGCCAGGAAGGGAAACCGCTTCCTTTGTCTCGTCAGGCCCCGCTACAGGCACTTGCAAAGCTGCAGCCTTAGGAAGGGAAGCCACTTCCTTTAGAACTGCCGAGGAACCTGGAGAGTCCGGCCGCCCAGGAGGCGTGGAAACCGAGGCCTGGGCATGAAAGGACAGGGTTTGGTTATTATGGGGTTTTTTTACAGGGCTTCTGGAGACCTAAACACGGCTGAGAATGGCCTGGGAGGAGGGTAAGATGGCACCCGGAGCACAGCCATCTACGTCCCTCATTTTTGAGCCGGTGCGTCGGGTGAAGGGTAGGCCAGAACTGGGGACCATTATGGGGCATGTCAATGCACGGCTGCGCAAGCAAACGTTCTAGCCTATCCATCTCATGAACCTGCTGGAGGTAAAGCTTACACTTTGCACAAGTGATTGCAAGATTGTTAGTTTTCAACCCCCCGACTTGCCAGACATGACCACCTACTGCTTCCGGGACGTCTACTTTTGCCAGCAAAAGCTGGCGCTTGTTAGGCCCTTTAGGTGGTTGGGGTTCCTCTCGTTGGCTTCGGGGAACAAAATCATCTTTTGAGGCATGTTTCAAAACAACCACAGCCCGCGACGCCAGGTAATCGCAGATCTTCGTTACTAGCCTGTCCAAATCCTGGACCTTACGTCCCGCAGCGGGCGAAATAATGGCAGCTCGTTTGCCTGCCAACTCGTCCGCGTATTGGTTGGCCTGGTGTCTCCAAAGCTGGGAAAAGCCAAACTTAATTTCGAACTCGCGGCTTGTTAGGTGGGATTTTACCCAAGTGGGTCTTATCCTACCACGGTCCTCCCAGACCGGGCCCCAAAAAACCGGGGTCGTTTTTTGAAAGGATTTTTTGGAAAGGGTCCTTAGGGCTGGCTTACAGTCCCCCGTTAGGTCAACCTGACCGGAGGTGTGTTTGATCGTCTGCACTATGGCGAAAGATTCACCACGCGCGACGCTTGTTCCGGGGGGGGTGAGGCCAGACATGGATCCCAACTCCTGGAACGTTCACAGCTAGTTCAAGCCACACTACCAAAGCCACTACCAAGCCCTAAGAAAAGTCCCGGCCAAATAAGCACCTATCACAAGCTCTCGCTCCCTTCCTTTTTGACTTTGCCGGAAATGCAGCTCAGAGTTCGAAGCACAACAAAGCAAGCAATTGAATTGCGGCAAAGCTAAGTAGACAGAGCTTACCACCACCGTGCAAGCGAATGAATTGCGTCAAAGCAGAGAACCTGAGTGAGCCATGATGATAAAACACAGGAGCAAAAACAGAACAGACCTTGACCAAGGCAAGAAAAACGAGCTCGAGGATTCTCGTGAAACGAGGCTGGCTCCAATCGCTTAGAAGACGAGCACGCCTTTGGGTTGGCTCTGCTGATAGCTTGCAGGCATGGAACATGTCCCAAAGCAAAAAGGAGCACAACAGCTAGACGGTAGCAAAAAAAGCTAGCACAGTCGTTTAGAAGACGGGGCCCTTTTGGGCAGACCCGGCAGACAGCTTGCGAGTATGGGACATGTCTCAAAGCAGACGCAAGTACTGCTGTGAAACGAGTGCAAGATGAGCAGCAAGCTCCGGTTGTACAAGGGTCGCGAGACCCGTCCCAAATGAAGGAATGAATCTTCATAATGGGAGTGGTGGGTGGGATCAAAAAGCGAAGCTACCAAGCGATGTAATGCAAGCTGCAAGAATTCGGTGTGTGGCTTGAACCAAAAGCAACAAAGTACGGTGATCTTTCACAACAGTAAACAGACATGAGTAAACACATGAACCTGACCGTTTTGAACCTGACCAACGACGACCGACCAGCTCACCCTGCGCAATCTCGGATCCTTGGTGAACAAGCCCCCTGACGCGTCTGTGGCGATAACCAACCCGTCTGCTACCACCTTGGAAGACTTCTGGAACAGGCCCGTCTTGACCACTTCTAGGTCTCCCAAGGGAGATATTTAAGGGGGAGCATACCCCTAAGCCACAGGCAGTCCTCTGGGAACCGGCGTTTCTCCGCCAGAATATACCCCGGTAACCGCATGCCACCAGGGAAGGAAGGGCACTCACGACGTGGGACCGTCCAGTCGACCCCTCCACCAGCACCCGCTGCCGAAGAGGCCGAACCCATGCGACGAGACCTCTGGGTCCTGATGATGCCCGTGAGGAAGGACGAGGTTTGACCGACAATCGAAACCTCAGAAGGCTTTATTTCAAGGACACGTTCCTCAAAAACCCAGCGTGAAGGATCGTGGCCGTCGACCTGGAGGTCGCGGAGATACTGGCACATGGCTGCGATGGGTCCGGTGACCACGGACCAACCATGCTTCGCAGCCTCCAGCCGCTTCCAGACCACTCTCCAAGTGTCCTTTACTGCCTCCCAGCCCATGCGGTTACATCTGGCCATCATCCTGAAAAGACTTTCCACGTGTTGGGTCACCACAATGAGGTAAGGATCCTGGACCTCGTGGGATGTCATATCTAGGATGGTATCCGTTGAACCGTAGCGGCTCCTACCTGCGTGTCGGGCCACTGCTGCGCGCATTGTTTTCATATGCTTAGGGGCGACCCCCTGTGCTTCATGGCCATAAAGACCCGAGGTGACCACACTAGAACGATGTAACCGTAGCCGGACACGGCGTGACGGAATGCGAAGCTTACCCAGCTTCAGGTTGCGGAGGCCACCTACCCGAAAGCGTTTTTGGGCTGTAGTTGTCCTACGCCGGCGTCCACTGCCACTGTCAAGGCCACCACGTCGACTATGTCGGGGTCTCCTGGCTGCAACAGCTTTCGCAGCGCTGCGGCCGATCGGGGTGTTCCGGCCACAAATTTCGTTTTCTCTTGGCTGAGGACGAGGCCTTCAGCCTGGAGGCTCGACTTGAGCACTCGAAAAGCTTCATAAGCCGCACCCGCGGCTATATCCGGCGAGGCATGGAGGGAATCTGCAGAAACATCGTCCAACCATACATCGCAATGATCCAAGCCTTTGACTCGTTTAAGTCTATGTAAGGGTTCAGACATGGTAAGCTTGGCCAAGGTGGGAGCGTACGGGCATCCCTGGATCATGCCCCGTCCCGGGAAGATGGTTGGACTAGGCTGGGATTCCCCCACCACCGTGCGACCTCCTTGGTAGAGGCGAAGGGAGAGGCACAGGGCCAAGGCTTCTGCCAGGAAACGCTGTCGTAAAACCCATTAATGTCTACGAACAACGAGACAGTGTGCAGGCCCTTGACTCTGGCAGACTCTTTGGAGCATTTCCTGGCCAGGGCAACGTCCAACGAGGTGCGGCCTGGAATCGCCGAGTCAAAAGGGTGATCAGGAATGTACGAGTCCAGCCACTGGCCAACCAAGAACCGCCGAGTCTTACACCAAAGCCGCCATAGGACTGACGTAAGACCGATAGGTCTTTCCTTCAAGGCACTCTTGGCCAGGAGAACAATTTGGACCTGGGAAACTTGGAGGGGAATGGCAAGGTCCTCCTCCATTTTGTTGAAGACGTCGGCTAGGATTGCATACGCATCCCGAGGCAGGTCTCGAAGATCGTTGAAATCCCAGCCATCCGGGCCTCCTTTTTTGGGATTTTTTGCGGTGCATATCTTGGCTACGGAGTTAGCTGAATGCTTGGGCAGGGAACGGACCTGCTCCCGGGCCAAGTCACACAAGGCATCCCATACTTCCCCTTGGAGCGGGGCCGGCGACACCAGGTTACCCTGCCAGACCTCGCACCAAAATTCTAGCCGTTTATAGGGCCGCGCCAAGGGAGTGAACTCCCGATACGGCCGTTCCAAGGTTTGCTCATCTGCTCGAAGGGAGCGGTAAAGGGGGCGGAGGTGATCATTTTGCGCCTCTTCCAGCCACTTGGAGTAGGACTCGGAATTCTGGGAGGTCTGGGAGGCCAGAGCTTCCTTATATTTAGCCTCGACCTTGGGCACCAACTCCCGGGTGAGACTGCTGCGATCATCAGCGTGAACCCAGTCCTTTAGGACGGCAAAAAGGGGGTCGTCCGGAGGGATGGAAACGAAGGCCTCAGAGGATTTAGGGACCATTCCAGTATGAAGCCAAGTACGCCATCTATCCCAGATGGCCATGGGCCCTCCCGTCCAGGCCCCTCCCCCTACCGGGTGTGAGGCCAAAGGCCGACGGGCAAGGTCGACCCACCAGCCTTTTCCTAGAGGTTTTTTATTGGGACGCCACATCCAAGATTTGGACCAATTGGACTTGGGGGCTTACTTGGAAGGAGGAAGGGGCCGGGGAAACCACCGACCTGATGGTGGGGACTCGCAGCTGTAGGGAGTGCACTGGCACTTCTAAAGAAAGAAGCCCATGAGGCTTGAAAGGAGTGTCAAAAGACAGCCGGACCGTCGACAGGGCCTGGAGACTGGGGTGGACGACAAAGAAATCAATCTCAGACTCCCCCCCCGCCGTCGGAGACCCACTGCCCACCACTCGGCCCTGCCATCTTTCTTCGTACCTAGAGTTTAGAAAATCCTGAATCGGAACATTAAAATCCCCCCCAACGACCCACATGCCATGAAGGAGGGACAGATGCTGGGTGAGATTGGACAGGATAAGATCATTGACTGGGCTATCCAGGCCAGTCCCACTTTCTAGGTACAAAGAGATCCAATTGAAGTCAACCCCTTTGGATCGCAACGCCACGATAACATAACCGCAGCCCTGCGAGGCGTGGAAGGTCACCAGGATCCTGGGTCCCAGGTGATTTTTTACTGCAATCCCAACACCTCCTAAGGGGTTTCCTTTGGCACTTTTCGGGCTGGCAATACCAAAGAACGCAAACCCTAGATTCATCAGGTGTCGGGTCTCACTTTTTAGGTCCTCTTTATTTTGTCCCAAAGTTTGAACCAGAAGGCCAAGGGGTCTTGGGTTCATAAGGAAAAGCATGGCATGACATAACCCTTGCAACAAGTGTAACATGCGCACTCCGAAACGGACGTCACTTTTTCCAAGGCGTGTGTTGGGTCCCACCGATGCAGCATGCAGCCTACAGGCCTTGCACAAGAAGGTGTGCCTGGTGGCACATACAGCCAGCCACGGGCGTGGCATACTCCAGGCATCCTTCCACTGCTCAACAAGTGTTACAGACCGGCACTTGCGCCTTGTGCTCTCAGGGCGGAGAGGGTGGGTAACAAAATTTTTTATGCTTGCGCCACAAAGGCAACGAGGCCTGACATTTCACAAGTCAATGCATGCTGCAAAAAACCGTCTTGTGCACATCTGATGAATCCGAAGCGAGAAGCAACTTTCAAAGGACTTTTCAAAGCACAAGTTTTCCCCCATCCCAGCCCGCCCTAGTTCAAACAGAGGGACAATCCCGTTGGGGGAACCCAAGTGGTTTGTCCCAAAGTTTGAACCAGAAGGCCAAGGGGTCTTGGGTTCATAAGGAAAAGCATGGCATGACATAACCCTTGCAACAAGTGTAACATGCGCACTCCGAAACGGACGTCACTTTTTCCAAGGCGTGTGTTGGGTCCCACCGATGCAGCATGCAGCCTACAGGCCTTGCACAAGAAGGTGTGCCTGGTGGCACATACAGCCAGCCACGGGCGTGGCATACTCCAGGCGTCCCCCCTTTAGCAGAGCATGCCGCGCCAGTGAGCCCAACCCAAACCTACCATTCCGTTCTGTCAAGCAACTTCTGCCTCTTAGTGGCCTTAGGCTCAATTTTCTTAGCAGCCGACATGGCTGCTCGTTCATCCCTGAAGGATTCGTAGTGCTCATGCAACTCGTGAAACAATCCCATTGGCAAATCTTTCAACGCAACTGTCACCCTGTTTGAAGGAACAAAGTTTTCCGTTTTCAAGTTAGTCAAATCGTCGGCATCCTGATTTTCTTCCCGTGGCCTCCAGGCAAGCTTGCAAACCTTATTGGCTTCACGAAGGGCAACCGACAACTGCATGTGGATCCCTTGCACGGGCCACTTGTTAGATAAACCCTTTGCAGCGATGGCCGGGGTGGCTTTGTTGTCAGTTCCACCGCACACCTGCACCTTCAAGGAGTCCCGCCCGGCAGATTTCTTCAAATGCCCGAATGCATGAAGCCCGACATATGAGCCGAGCAGCTCCGCGGCAGTAGAGGCCCACTCGGACGACCCATCAGGTTTGAAGAGTGCTGGCAAGTCATTAGGGAAAACCTCCAAAGCAAACCACGGTGCTTGCCTAGTATCAACCCCATGATCTAAGGACCAGCCCCCCAACACAATGCGCCCCCTTTCGCACTTAGCATCAGTCCGAAATGCCTGCCTCTGTTGCGCTGGCCAGGTCATGTGCACAGAATCAAGTCGAGCTCCTGATGAAAATTGGTGGCGGAAAAATCGAAGGACTAGCATCACCATCTCGGGTAGGCGCGCCACTGTGCTGCGGCTGAGCACCCCGTTCCAAGCAAACAATGGTGCCAGGAAAGGTTTCAACCAAGTGATCATGCGTGTCACAAAGTTGAGACGTCCGGTGAACTCCACCAGCCGCCTGCCAGACACCATCCATCCGTCGGCTTCCACTCGATCGATCCATTCAATGATCCAGGATGCCCGCTTCTCCGAAATGCCAGCTGCCCACGTGAAGTAGCTGAGGTGATATCCAATGTAGTCCACTTCCACTCCCCCTTTGAACTTGTGAAAAGAGAAAGGAGTCCCCATCACTTCAAGGGCCAAGAAAAGCAGCCATAGGGTATCGTACTTATCGCAGCCAAACACCACGACGTGAAGATCATCCACGTAGATCAACATGTAGAGTTGGTCCAAGGAAAGGACCCGGAAAGTCCACCGTCCAACGGCTCCGAAAAGGCGCGACCAGTAGTATGCGGCAGAGCTGACCCCAAACGTTCCAACGCAATTTAGCCAAAGCACGCGCGATTGCGAGGATGCCTTGCACGACAAGCGTGGCCAATCGGCCTCCCGCACCTTTACGCGTCGGTGCGCCTGGCTGATGTCGGCGCATAGGGAAAAAGGAGCCTCCTTGCTCTCCTTGACGCGTGCTGCCACCTCTTGAAGGTCTTCTGGTCCAGGAACCTGCAGTTTGTCTGTGATCACGATCCGGTTGTTTAGGTTGATGCCATGGGTGCCGTCATGTAGCGGCCGCACATCACCATTAGCTTTGGTCACTGCTCCCATCGCAGCGATCAGCACAGCGTCCTCTCCATATTTCTTCTTAGCCTCAGCTTCCGTGGTGCAGATCATCAGGCCTTCCCGTTCGTCTTGACGAAACTTCTCTTCCAACTGCTCAGCATTTAGTTCGGCTGACCGGTAGTTCACCATGGAGGGATCAAACTCGGTCTCGTCAAGCTTCCGGAAGTGCGTCCTCTTCGGGAACACCTGAGGAGCCCTGCCGATGGGCTTATCCCAACCAAGGGGCACCCCTTCTGCAAACGAGTCCTTCCCTTGGTCCAGGATTGCATAGTCAGGATCCCCAAACACCCGGAGCGACTGGGAAAGCTGCAACATGAAAGGTTGTCCTTGGGGAATCTGCATTGCCTGCTCAGGGTCTGGCAACAAAGCAGCAATCCGTTCCCTGACCTTAGCGATGGTGCTACGTGTAAATGGTGAGCTCTCCATCTTCCCCGTGGCAAGCATGAAGGCAGCTTTCTTCCTGTCGGGGATGGCCTCCCGCAGCGCACTGACAAGAATCCTGCGTATGCTAAGTGAATGGCTGTGCTCGATGTCGGAAGCTAATGCCCCACGTGACTTCGGTCGCCACCTCCCCGGGGAGCACAAGCCAAATCCATCCACAAGTTCACGCCGGACCTGTGTGTGCCGACAACGCAAGGCCGGCCCACTGCAACGGGATGTGCGTGGGTCAAACTCTTGGGGGTCACCAACGTCCTCGCCATCGGGTTGGTCGGAAAGGGGAGCCTCAGGTGCCATCAGGATGGTCCCTCCTGTTGGGGTGCTATGCGGGGCCTCCAGAAGGGTTCCTCCTGTAGGGGCGCAAACCGAAGGGTCCCTAGACGAGGAAGCCAAACCAGGTGCCTCCAGGATGGTCCCTCCTGAAGGGGTGCCAAGGACGGGGCCCGGGGCCTCCAGGATGGTCCCTCCTGAAGGGGTGCTAGAGCCAGGGCCAGGTGCCTCCAGGATGGTCCCTCCTGAAGGGGTGTTAGTAGCGTGGAGTTCATGTTGCTTTAATGCCATCGCCGGCACCGCTTCGGCCTCCCGATCAGCGAGCCCCTCCCCCCCTTGCTGTGGCAGGTGAGCAGATGGGGGAAGGACGAAGCCCAAAGAGAGGAGGTTGTCACGCATGGGCGGTGACAGCGAGTGAAGGCGGGTGACTGTGAATCCAACTAAGAGAACTCGATCACCAGTCCACGCCTCGGTTTGATGGAAGCAGTTGTGAGCCTGGAGCTCCTGCGGAGCCTGGGCCACTGGGAGAAGAACGCCTTTGCGCGGGATGCCGCGAACCATGCGCACGACATGACCGTGGCTGCTTTCCATCCAAACCTGCCCATCTTGGAAAGTGGTCAATGCAAGAAGCAAGTTTGGGTAAGGCGCGTTGTGCACGTCTTTGTGCATAGTACTCTTGACGTTATTGAATACCACAAGAGAACTAAAGGGCTTGTTGGGGAAGGCATCACGAAGGAGCAAGGTGAGGCACTTAAGGGACTGAGGGAACAGCCGGCAAGAACGGCGCAAACCCGTGACGCCACCCTTAGTGTAGGCTCCGCCGAAGAAGGCCTTGCCGCCACTTTGCTCCGGGGCCGCATCTGCCACTGCTGCTGGATGCGGTGCTTCGTATTCGAGCAGGCGGGCCAGAGCTTCTCCATCATGTTTCCCAAGTTTACGCGAATCGGACTGCTCTAGCAAGCATGCGGCGAACTGTTCAGCCGGATGGCCGACGTCGTCTGTAGCGCGCCCAGACAACTGCCAATCACATGCCATCTGCACCACATGTTCACAGAAGGCCAACGGAAGAGGTGTGTCCGTCTTCCAACTTCCATCGTGCGCTATGCCGGCGCCACCATGATGCAAATGCTCGCACCGGCCAATTGGCCCTACATAGGACCCTGTTGCATCGAACTGCGGCCATCTGAGCTGCGCCTCAGGGCCTGCTAAATTGGTTGCCAGCCTCGTGGGGTGAGGGAGATCGCCCCCGAAAGTGCACATGTGTACTGCCCATGTTGCCGCATGTTCATCACCTTCCACAAATGCACGAAGCTCATCAAGTTGCCAAATGCTAGCTGGCCTTTGACCCGAATGTAAAGCACCCAGATCTTCTGGGTGGGCGAGTAGCCAACCCATGCCCGATTTGATTGCCGCTTTGATTACGTTGAAAGACTGCCGCAAGTAAAAATTTTCTCGATCAACAGCAGCACGCGACCTCTCTGCCAACCAAGGAAAACCAAAAGGATAAGTGTGCGACCTGGAAGGACCAGGCCCATGCCGCTCTGTCCTGCGGTGCTCTCTTGCACGACTGAACGTCTTGCAAGGCGGCGAAAGCAAAACAATATCCCATGAATGTTCATGAATCTCGGTGAAAATGCGATCCCATGCCTCTGGTTTAAACCATGCATCATCATCGCAATCAAGCAGGAAGCCAACCTTAAGCTCGCTCCCCGTCCTCTGTGCTGCATTCTTAAAACACACATGCATCTGCTCGTTTGCGCCGTGACTGCCGAAGCCCACCAAGACCCTGAGTCAGTGCTTCGGAGCATCCGTTGTCTTGCCAGAGTGATGCTGTTGCCAATGTTGCCACGTAGGATGTGGCCCGTGGCATCCTTTGACCATGCAGCAGTGTACCATGCCGCAGTTTCCATCACATCCTGGCCCGGAGTAGTCAAAGCAGATCCACCTCCCGTCTGGCGTTCGAGTGGTGGTGACGCTCTCACGCTTCCCTTTGCCAGGACCCTTTGGGTCCTTTCCTTTCTTGTCCTTGCCCTTTTGATCGCCACGTCCTTTGTCATCTCCTTTGCGCGGTGTGCCTTTGCCCCAGCCAGCTCCTTTTCGCCAGGTGTCCCGGTGCCATTTTCCATCATCGTGCTGGCCATCCCATTGATCACTGCCACGCTTTCCTCTGTTTTGCAGCGCTATGGGAGCTGTGAAATACTGTTCTTTCAACTGTGCATCATCTGTCACCTCCCGAAGGGTCTCGCGCAGGGGGCGGGAATCACGAAAGGCTCTCTTGATCGCTTCTTTCCTCAACTCGTATTCATAGTTGAGGATCACCACCCATGGCGGTTTCAATGGGATTTGATCCATCTTCCCGCCCTTCCCGGTGACCGGGACCTGCAGCAAGTACACCCGTTCTCCAAGCAAGTAGTTTGCTTATAGCAAAAAGTTTGCATGCGAAATAAACATATAACATATAAAATGATGTCTGACAATCCACAAGTCCGAGCACTCTCTTTTTCCATGGTAGCTTGGGCAAGATTCGCGGGATCTCAGAAGTCTGCATCATGTGCACCAGCTCATGAGCTGAGCGCACGCAGCGAGAGTCACATACTCCCCAGGGTGGGAGGGCGGGTCAAAAATTTCTCTCTCAAGGCTCATGAGCCAAGCTGCAACAAGTGAAAACTTTGGCAGACATTTAAAAAGGAATCGCATGACGTGTGTCCCAAAATTTCTTCATCAAGAAATATCAACACACTCAAACTTAAAGCTATAAAAGCTCATCCGATGGAAAAAGCCTTATAGCAAAAAGTTTGCATGCGAAATAAACATATAACATATAAAATGATGTCTGACAATCCACAAGTCCGAGCACTCTCTTTTTCCATGGTAGCTTGGGCAAGATTCGCGGGATCTCAGAAGTCTGCATCATGTGCACCAGCTCATGAGCTGAGCGCACGCAGCGAGAGTCACATACTCCCCTCATACTTTGCCCGAGCAAGTGGGCGCAGATCCTCGCGAGAAGGCCTCAAGCGTCTCACGCCAAGTCGTGTCAGAAACTCGAACTCACCTCTCGAGGGATCGTCAGCAGGATTCGAAGCGGTCGGAACTCTTGAGAAATATGGCTTGACAGAGAGCCTGTCTTCCAAGTGGACTGCGTCACTCACAATGCATGAAGCAACAGGACTCGTTGCAAAGCCGTTGATGAAGGAGTGACGCGCCGGATCGCTGTCTAAGAAGAGGATGACTTTCCTCCTCGCAAAGAGTTCTGGCACCGTGGAGAGGCACAGGAGGTATGGAAGAAGCTCGGCCTCAAAGACGAGCTGAGATTTGGCCTCCAGCTCACACCATCGCTCGACCTCATCTGGGGGGACGAGTTCGCTCAAGAAAGCTGAGGGGCGCTCAGCGCCGTCGAAAATCACAGCACCGAGTCCACAAGATGGCAAGCTCGAACCTTCCACAGGCGTACATGAACCATCAGTGAAGACAACAAGCGGACGCCCGGCGCAGTCCGAGATGCATCTTGGGGGAGCATTTCCCTGGAGCGCACGCCTCACGTGCTGAGGCAGCGGGGAGGGGGTGGCGCCAGGAAGAGCCTGAGTCCCAATAGCTCTAAGAGCAGTGTTCGCAAGACGTCCTGCAACTTGAGCTTCAGCAAAATTCAAACGTGACCTCAACCTTTGGGCGCCCTTTGCGCTTAGAGAATCGGAGGTTAGAACCTCATCAATGGTCCTTGTCAATTCTTCAATCCTCTTCGGGGTGTTCCCAACTGTGAAGGAGCCGTTGCGAAAACCGTTGAGGTCAAAACGAACACCCAACACATCAAGAACCGAACTGAAACCTGCAGACTTCGCCTCATCTCGCGAGACTTCCCAACCAAGAAGATCAAAGTAGGAAGAAATGAATTTCTCGGAGTGCTCCTCGTCCCCATCCAAACAGAAAGCGACATAGTCATCAAAGAAGGAGGTCCAAACAAGGCTTGCTGCCTTGATTCCCAGCCGCTTGACACCCTCAGCCGCCCTCAAGAATGAGCAGACTGAGAAGGAACCCCCGAATGGCAATGCCAAAAGGTTCGTGCTCCACTCAAGCTTACCTTTAAGCCAACAAAGAACAAAGACACATGAGCCTACACTTGGTGTGGTTCAGAGAGCGCAACGCTTACAGTAACGCACTCACTCGGACATTCCTTTTTTTCACGTGGAAGCGTGGGCAAGCATGCACATGCGGGCCTCATGCCACGCAAGGACAAACCTTCTGCCTTGGAAAGCCTGTGTAGATCTACTTGGCACCTCATGCACAGTTGCAATACGAACCCAGCACTGACTCCCCCGGATGAGGGAAGCCATGCAGGCAGAAGAAGATCCACAGGCGGGATCCGTCAGGCACGGATCGGTCACACCCACTGGGATGGGCGGGCGGGCAAAGAAAATTTTCTGCATCTCTCAGCTGTCAGCCACTGTTACCGGGCATGAAGACTGCATACAAGCTGTCAAGGTGACATGCAGAGAGAACATGAAAGATGGGCATGCAGAAAATTTTGAAAGCACTGTGAAAACTCTTTTTGTTTTTCTTAAAGGCACGGTTGCAGGCAACCTAAGCGTTCGCTCCTCACGAAGGCGCTATCAACAAGTTGACAGCAAGCTTCGTGCTCCACTCAAGCTTACCTTTAAGCCAACAAAGAACAAAGACACATGAGCCTACACTTGGTGTGGTTCAGAGAGCGCAACGCTTACAGTAACGCACTCACTCGGACATTCCTTTTTTTCACGTGGAAGCGTGGGCAAGCATGCACATGCGGGCCTCATGCCACGCAAGGACAAACCTTCTGCCTTGGAAAGCCTGTGTAGATCTACTTGGCACCTCATGCACAGTTGCAATACGAACCCAGCACTGACTCCCCACATTATCCGACTTTCACCTTTTTACCTTTTTCCTTAAGAAATTTTCGAAAACAGCCTTAAGGGTTTGACGGACGTCAACTGCACCAACCAAAGTGTTGCCATGAACGTAGGACTCCAGCTTTGTTCGAGAGGGATGGTCAGCAGGGTTAGACGGAGAAGGAACCCTGGCGTACCATGCTTTGACATCGAACTGCTCCTCGCTCTCCAGCAAGACATTTAGAAGCGCTTGTGCATTGTCAGACCTCGTGCAGCCTGAAATCGCGATGTCGCGGGAGGCATTGTTATCAACGAACCACAGCACAGGTGCATGTCTGATGACGTGTCCCCATACAAGCTGCGAAACGATAACTGCCAAAAGTTCAGCTTCAAAAATGACCGTCTTACGAAAGCCCTCGGTCAATGCTTCAATCTGCCAGCGCTCAAGTTGCTCGGAAAAGGCACCTAGGAGTTTACCTCTGTCAGAGAACAGCAGGCCACCAATACCACACGCCCAGTCCGATGCCTCTGGGTCGAAGCAGGCGTCCGTGAAGATGACGAATTTTTCCCGCAAATATCCGTTCAAGACTCTGGGTTTGTGCTCCAGAAGCATCTTCCTGAACCTGTCCAGAGCGAAAACGCAATCCTCACACAAGGTATCGGACACATCACTATAGGCGTGCTTGGTGACTTGTCTAAGGCACATCCTAGCGGACCTTCCAAACAATTGACTGTCAGCAAACTGCATGCGTCCCCTCAACCTCAAGGCCAGAGGCTGTTTGAGGGAACCAGCGTCGAGTATGTCGCCAATGGACCCACAGAGTTCGCTCACCCTGGATGGGGTGTTTGCAAACTTCACAACTTTGTTCGCGCTCTCCTCTAAATCGACGACGATGCCAAGAGCTTCGAAAGACCTCCTGAACGGCAAGTCCTTCTTTCCGTCACTGGACAGTGTCCAGCCCAGGAGCTTGAATAAGCGCTTGATGGTATCGTCAGTGCTGTGTGCGAGGCTGCCCGAACAAATCGTGATGAAGTCATCGAAATAGCAAACCCAAGGGAGGCTTAACCCAACAGTCCCTATGAACCAGATGCTATGCACTACGCGCAGAAACGAATAAACGCTTCTGCACGCGCCGAAAGGCAACGCTTTGAGCCTGAAGCACACGGGGGCGGCACGCTCATGGTCCCAGATGCAAACGTACGAGCACCAAGCGGAACTCTGGGACACCGCCAGCTGTCGATATGCTGCTTTCAAATCATGGGTACGACCCAAGAGTGGCTCATTGGTGGACCTCATGAGCTGAATGGCAAGTGCAGCAAGAACGTCGGTGGAATGGGGCTTTGGAGACTCATTTGTTTGGACACACGAGTTGACGTGCGATGCACTGAGGTCGTCTATCAGACGTACCTTTGACCCTTGCTGGATCCCGAACCGGCGAGAGACTACTGAGCCGTTAGGCAGCTCAGACGGATCAAAGGGCCCTTCTAACCAACCTTTCTGTAGTTCTTCAAGGGTTTGCTTCTTTACTTCTTGGTCAAGCAAATCACCCTGCGACTTAACACTCCGGAAGACACTGTGCCTGCCCTCATCGGCGGTGTCTCGCAACAAGTCCTCGGACATTGCCGCGGGTTTGAAAACAGGGTTGAATAGCCCAGTACTCGGAACTTCACCAGTCAACACGGTCCCTGAAATCACCTCCTCGATGACAGTTTTGTCAGGGTAGTTGAGGTCATCTAAGATTTCGCGCCAGACAAGAAGGTTTTTAGGTTCAAGGATGCCTCGGACGTCGGGATGCATGCCATCCTTGAGTTTGCATTCGTCTGTCCTGAGTTCCAAGCACCGTTTGAACCATTTTTCAAACCAAGCTGTGCGCTTCCCTTCAAGGGCCGACGCTGTCGTCGCATTGCAATTCACTTCGACGGCTTGAAGAAGTTCGCTGGGTAATTGTGCTTCTTGGGCCACAGGGTGGACAGCTTTGCAAGCACACTGAATGAATTCACTTGGCGACCACGGAATGCCCCACGCCAATTCAACATGCCTACGAGTTTCCTCATCCTGCTTTCCCATTTTAACCGGACTGAGACGCAGCAACTGAGCATAGGGAGGTATGACCTTCAAGCTGCATTGACAATCCGCAGGCACCGGCCAAGCCTGCTCGAGGCGTTGCATGGGTTGGCAAGGCGGGACCAGGCTGGCGGCAGGCCCCCGGACCACGCAAGTGGTCTTGTACTCCGGGACCAAGGCTGGCACCTTGCTAGCTTTTGGTTGAAGTCCAGCCAGGCTGCGTAACGCCGGAAGCTGGAGGCCCGGCGGCTCGACAGTGGGAAGGGCACTCGCGAAGCACTGCGCAATGGCATGAGCCAAGGGACGAGGGTAGGCGGTCTCCCGACTGGTGGCGAAACCGTTGGGGGCCGCGGGGTCGACACCCCAAGACGCATGCGCAGGGCAGCCGGGACACAGCTTGCACAAGGACTCGAAAGAAGGGTGCGTGTAGGCAATCCGGGTGAACTTGGGGCGGTCGCCACCATAGGCGCACGCCTGGTGATCCACATAGCGAAAAGCATGAGCCACGTCGCGCCAAAAGGAAGTCTTCCAAAACAAGGATGACCGCGGATTCTCCACAGCAATCAAGATGCCACGCTGCACACCCAGGCGCACGGCCTGTCGAAGCGCCAGGTAGCTTTCGTTTGCAAGGCGCACACGGCGAGCATCACCGGGGGGGAGGTCGGGCATACCGTCCGGGTGACGGTCTGACCGCAGAGGCCGGGGCACAGGCACCGGATTGCCCTGGCTGTCCCAGCACGGAATGCCACGGGCCAGAGAACACGTGCCACAAGCCGGAGCGGCGAACAACCCCAAGACGCGCGGGTTTTGCACAAGTTGGAGCAGCTGGGCAAGGCCGTCTGGCGTAGAGACATCGAGCACCCAGGGCGGGGCGGCACACCCAACGCTCTTGACCTTGTCAATGGCAACAGCCTCAAAACCAAGTGCACGCAGGGCCGCAGTGACGCGACCAGACCCGGAGAATAACTCCAAAATTAAAGGCGGGGTGGGGGGCGTGAGGGGCCGCACAGGGGCAGGCTGGACTAGGGAACCGGGATTAAGGAAACCCAAACTAAGGAGTTCCTGTCGTTCCTTCTCGGACAGCCGCTCCCAACCCTGAAGGCAATATCCCACAAGCAAACACCCAACGCCTTTCCAAGGGAGTGTGGCATGCAGGCGGCTGGCGTCTAAGGTCTGGGGCCCCAAACTGACGCGGAGCCGTATGCCCAGGGCATCGTGCCCTGCCAGCGGAACACCGCCAACTGGAGATTCTTGCCAGACGTCGCCGTCCCGGAAAAGGCTGAGTGGCAGAAGCAGGTTGGGGAAACCAGGCACGTTGCAGGAGTCAACGTGCGGTTCCGCGCGCAGGTTTGTGAACACAGCAGCATTCGTGAATGCGTGGCCAGGGAAGTGCTGGCGAAGTAGAGCACAAAAGAAACGTGTCACAGCGGGGAAACGTTTCGTGAAGCCGCGAACGCCCGCACGGGCACCCCAGGTCCACATGCCGCAGGTCCAGGAGTGAGAGGCACTATGCGCTTGGCCCCGTGCGGGGACCTCAGAGGGAAGCAGGCAAAGAATGCGCCGGGCAGCTTCAAGCGAAGGGCTGTTGACAGAGGCACGGGCAAGATGCTCCGCACGAGCCACGTCCACGACCCACTGGCAGGGCGAAGGCTGTTCACGTAAGTCAAGAGCCACAGCAGGCCTGGGGGCAGAACAGGATGCATCATCAGCGCGGACTGGCGTCTGCACAGTCGCTTCACGTACAGGTGCTTCAGGGCGGGGCTCGGTATGGGGGTCCACCGGGTCCATTCCGGGCCCTTTTTCCGCCGTTCTTTTGTCAGAAACCGTCCGTTCTTTTGGATGGCAATTCGGACGCAAAAGAACGGGCGCTCTTGGGGAACTTGGAAGCCCCCAAAACCCAGCAACAAGCCCCACATCGGACCCCAGCGAACCCTCATAGGGCTCGGGTTGGGGTGGCAGGTCACTTGCAGAGCCAGGTGACCTGACGGACGCGGCAGTGCTAGTGGGAACAACAGAGGTGCTTAAGGAGGGAGCAACCGGGGGCCTAGGGGAGGGAGGAGACTTAGGGAGCAGAGACACGGGCTCACCAAGGGGCCTGTATGCAGGAGAAAGATTAGCCCGTTCGCGAACTTCCAGAACAGGTTGGCCTGAAGCGGGGAGATCGCGAGACTCATCTGTGCAAAGGGCAGGAGTCAGCACCTGCGGGGGAAGGTCAGACATCTTCGCCACGTCAGGCTGGCTAGCAGAAAACGAATTCGAAGTGACACTGGTCGAAGCGGCTTCTGGCGATAGTCACTCTTTGCGCTGGCACTGCATGAGGCTATGATTGCCGAAACAACGCGCGCAGACATGGGCACGGGGGCAGTTGGCCACCCGGCACTCCCCAAGGCTGAACCCGTAGCAGATGGCTTTGCCATGGGGCGTTTGGGCTTTGCCACCCTTGTCGAGAATGGCCTTGGGAACAGCCGCACGGTTGGCAGCACCTTTGCCTGGACCTTTCGGGGGGCGAGCAGGCGGGTCCTTGGGCGCAGGGGGAATCTTCTCAGCTTTATCATCCTTCTTGCCCTTGTCATCTTTGGTCTTCTTGCGCTTCCTTCCTCGACCGCCGCCACTCCCAGCAGCCGTGCTTCCACGAGGGATCAAGACGAAGGAAACGCGATACGACGAGAGCGCTTCAAAGAGAGCGTCATCCATGGCGCGGGATCCGTCACTCTTGCGCCGGGGCCGGATTCCTTTCTCAAGCATCCACACATGAACCAAGCGGTCAGCCTCGACAACTTGATGCAGCTGGCAAGCACCCCCTGGCAGGGCGTCGGGGTTTGTCAGGTGTCGCATCAGCTCATTGACGTATTTTTCATGTGCAAGAAAATCAACCACATCTGCAAATGCCAGCGCCAGTCCTCGACGACGGAATGCTGCAGAGAGGAGCAAGGGGTTGTGAACTTGGGCGTCACACGGGAGCTCCTGGTCCTTGAGAACAAGCCGCTGCTGCTCCAGCTCGACGACACGGGCGAGGGGCTTGGCAAGGGCTACCTCGCTCAAGCGGGAGGTGCATTTCTCAGGGGCGATATACCTTATCTCATCCAGCGAACTCATGGTGCAGGCCAATTCCAACAGGGCCCGGCTGGGCTCCGCATCACCTTCTATGATCACACCGGAAACCTTGGCCTTTAAAGCAGCCATGCGTTTGTCGCGCTCTGCTTCTGCAAGGGGTCGGGCGGCAGAGGCACTGGGGTTGGTAACCTGGTCCTTGAGATCTGCCAAGGTAAGTGTTTGCGCCTCGAAGACGAGTCGGCGTACACTCGCAGCTTCCCCGGCTGATGCGGCGGGGATGGAGGTTTGGACCCAAGTATGCCACTGATCATCGGCTAGCTGTTGACCTGGTTGGCCCACGCAATAAGCGAGCTGCCCAAGAGTCTCAAAACCCAGACGCGTCAAGGTACGTATGAGGGGCTCGCCGATGCGGAACAGCTTGCATCTCGCCTGAAAGTGAGCGGCAGACTCCAGCACAGACATGGGGCTCTCACGCAGCGCACTCGAGAGGCTACTTAGGGGCACCTACTTCACATGACAGAATGCACCCGAACAACTTCACATGACTGAGTGTAACTGAACATCAAGATGTCAATCAGGAATCAACACAACAAATCATGGCATGAAAGCATTGGTCATGTCGTCACCAACCTCGACTTGATGGGGGGGCGAGAGAGAACAAGCAGCCGACATGACTCACGTTCACTCATGCTCAACCCCCCCCCCCCTTGTCCGTGCACTCGACCGAAAAAGGCAGACAGCAGCATGACAGTTGTGAGGGCGCAACACTTCATTGCAGACCCTAGGTCGACTACTTACCTTCGCAAGCAGACGGACCCGACTTTTCCACAACCGTCAAATGCATCGCCGGCAACCTTGACACTCGACCGCATCCAGGTCAGCATCCTCGGCAACTCTGTACGCATCGGAGCGCACACGTCCGCATGCAAGAACTTGAAGGCACGCATCAAGAGTGCTTTGGCCGCGGACCAAGTGCAACAACGACGGTGGATCACCCAGACGTCGGACTCATCCCGTGTCTCAGGCAGAAAGCGGCGGGCCTTTTTGCTGAGGGGAGGGCTGGAGGAATGGGTCACACTGTCCGAGCTGCTGCTTCGGGAGGCCTCAGAATCAGAGGAATCCTCACTACTCTCATGCGCAGACTCCTCGGCTTCGGAGGCGGAATCTTCAACTTTGATGGCTCCGGAGGGTCGCACGACAGGCAAAATCGGTGCTGGGCCAGGAGAGGCTTCACAGGACTCACTCCAGAAAGCGCGTAAAGGAGCATCTGGCATGAACACCCCAAGAGCAACCTGATGCAACAAGCGAGAAAAGGCCAACGACGGGGCCGCGCTGAGATCACGGCTGTACACAACCTCAGTCGTGAGTTGATTGCGAGCATGCCGACCCAAGACAGCACAAGTATCACGGTCCATGCCAGCGCGCGTGCCAGCCTTGGATGCCCAGGACAGGCCAGTGACCTTGAGGGAATGGGAGGACACGCCGGAGTCCTCAGGCAAATCGAGGGCTTGACGAAGCATCCTGGACACTTCTTGCGAGGACACGGGGCGAGCACAGAGGGCAGAGCACTCAGCATCAAGGGGTGGGCGGAAAATGGGCCCGTCAATCTTGCCAATTAAACACAGGTTAACAGCTTCAAACGCCTGGATTGCAAGAGGCAGCCAGGGACGAGAGACCACTCCCTGTGCAGGGACCAAGATATGCAAAAACTGCGCCTTCTTCTTGGCGGTGGTCGAGGTCTTGTGACGACCTGTTCGAATCTGCAGAAAGCCCGAAACACCATCGAAATCGCACTCCAGGTCCCAGATGCACTGCAGGTCAGAGTGCCGACATCGTCCATAGACGGCGATCAAGGCATATGCAGCGAAGCAACGCAACAGGGGGTCGTCGCTGCCTTCGAGAAGTTCATGCAATTTGCGAACCTGATCAACTGTTAATGCACGAGCCTGCTTGAGCCAACGGGTCTTAGCAGCCAACTGCTGACTGGCACCGACGATGCGCCGGCTAGAAATGCATACCTGCACATCCACCTCAAGGACGTAGTGCAAGAACCGCATGGCAGAAAGCAACGTCGAACCGCTGGTCGGAGGCTTGTTTTCTTTCTTCAAGTACTGAAAATGTTCCCAAACAAGAGTCTCTTGGAACACACCCGAGAAGGACAGATTTGCAAGGGGCTGACCATCGACCCAACGAAGATAGGCGAGGAGGGAATTGGCCCTCTTGATCAACGTGTAGGGGCTGCGGAGCCCCGTCCTGGCCTCAATGTCCTCAGGGTCGGGCGGCTGTCCTGTGCACCGTTCCACGACGACACATAACTTATTGATTGCAATGTGAAGCAAACTTCCAAGGGTCTCATTAATATCGCAGTCAGCAACATTAGAAATCGTGGTCTGAAAGAATGACTTCAAGTCGGTCACATGCTCCAAGCACTCGACCAGCCGATCAGGCGTGCTCACCTCTGGCGGTAACAAGGGCTCCAAGGATGGGGATTGCACAGCAAAGTCGGCATCATCACTGAAAATGCACTTCATAGGACCTTGCTCCCACGGCAGACGGATTTGCGTCAAATTTCGGGATGCAACAACCTGTTGGCAAACAATCTGATCAATGAAGCTGGTGTCAACGCGGGACTCGAGAGGTAAACCTGCACAACCCTCAGAATCAGGATGACGGGTGTCATCTTCAGTGTCAGGAGAGCAAGCCCCCAGTGGGCCAACACCTGCATCTTCGGCGACGTTGAAGTCGCCATCGGACACTGAGACATTGTCGGAAAGAACAGAAGCAGTCCCTAAACTCCCCCCAACAGAAGCATTCCCTAAACTCCCCCCTTTATCCGAAAGCACAGTCAGCGGCCCAGGCGCAGGGGCCTCGAGGGCAATCACTGCACAGGCAGGCAAGGTCGGGGGCTCAGGCGGGAAAGGATGCTCCGCGACTGCGATCCAGCTGCTGGCGGAACCAGAGGCTTCAGTAGCACTGGCCGGATCGGACATGCTTAAGAAGGCAAAGTGAGCAATACGCGAAAGCAAGCGTGAGGACCTTTGGCTGTGCAGAGCAGCGAGGGCCAGCTGCGGAAAGGAAGTGCCAGCAAAATCCTGGAGCCCTCGCTCTGGCTCAGAAGCACGGCAACCAAATTGCTGTCAGCGACCCAAGACCAAAGGCCGGTGGGAGCGGCAACCTGATCACGCAGCAGATCGTCGTAGAAGGCTCTGGGGCGCAACAAAACTGGCCGAAACGGCGGCAGAGGCCCTGCAAGGATCAAAACGCGGTCGTGGCTCGAAGAAGAAGAAAAATCCTCAGAGCTGTCAGAACCGCTCATAACAGGGCCAAGGAACACACCATCCGCCAGTGGCCACGCCACTGGCTTGCACACGGCCTAAGGCCAGTCCCTTAGCACCCCTTACGAGACCTCTACTCTAGAACGCAGCCTCAGGCCCAAAGAAAATTTTCTGCATCTCTCAGCTGTCAGCCACTTGAGCCAAAATGGTGACAGCAAGCTTAAAGAGCGCAGGCTCATTCTTCGCAGGGTCATGCACTGCGACCCACGCGAACCTCCTGTGGTCAGGGGCAATAGCCAGTTGCCTGTAGGCTTTGCGAAGATCAAAAGACCTGCCTTTGATGCACCTGCCAGAACCCTTAAGGGACCTGAGCAACCTCAAAATGAGGGCAGCAATCTCATCGACTCCTTCGACATGGAGGCGTTCAGTGAAGCCTACTGCACTGTTGATGCAACTTGCACTGAGATCGTCTATTGCTCTGATTCGCTCCTTCTGCCAGATGGCAAAACGCCTTGAAACGATAGCATCTGTCGGCAGAGAAGACAACGGGTGAGGGCCAGAAGCCCAGCCTGCAGTAACCTCGTCAAGGGAAGTCTGCCAGAGCACGCGGTCCGATTCATCGTCTCCCGAAGATCTTGTCTTCTGAAAGGTGACATCGTTGATCATTGGAGCCATCGCAGCAAGCTGATCCAAGCTCAACGAGGGCGGTTTCACCTGCGCCTGATAAACATGCGTCCTAGGCTGCCACCCAGCGAGCGGTGACCCCTTTGCCATGTCCCTTGCAAGATCCTGGTCAGGAAAATCGATTTCCTTAAGAAGCGCATCGAAGAGAGCGAGCCTCTTCCGCTCAAGAATCTTCCTCAGAGAAGGATCCATGGAGCTCTTCATCGATTCATCCAGAGGCTTCAGAGACCTCGCTAAGGCAAGGGCATGGGAAAGCCACTTCAACCGATGCTTGCGCAAAGCCAGAGGGGTGGAACGGCACATGAAGGAAACTGCTTCCTCAAGAGCAATGTCAAGGACTATCTTTGCATCGACGGGGTGGCAGAGAGCAAGTGCGCACTTGACAAAATCTGATGGCACACGGGGAATGCCAACGACTGCAATGTCAGAAGCATCGACCTTCACATCTTCAGAAGGTTTAGGCAAAGAAAGCAACAGGGAAGGCAAATCGACATGCGCCACAGAGTTGCTACCTGCAAGGTTCAGAGGCACAGAAGAACCCCCACTAAGAACCGAAACCTCGAACCTGAGCAAGCGGGAACCTTTGGGCCAGGGCTCAGGCAGCCGACTATTGGGTAAGAAAGCCCACAAAGCCGAACCCTCAGAGTGGTGAACATGTGCAGGCAGAAGAAACTCAGTCAGCAAGGGGGGCACAGCACGGCCCCGCGGAAGCCCTCCAAGAATGCACTTGTTGACGAGGGGACGCAGGGCGTCATCATGTGCAGCCACACTGCTGAACTGATCTGGAGGTTCCAAGCACTGCTTGCCAACGGCAAAAGAACGGAAAGCAGCCACCCAGGCTTGGCACAAAGGAGCCGAGTAGTGGGCCTCCAAGGACGTGGACCAGACCTCATGCCCAGAGGGCAGACGCACAAGACCCCAAGGCACATGAGAGTGCATGCCGTCGCAAAAACGCTGAAGCTGGAGCAAAGCTTCGAAGTTGCACCAAAGAGCCGTGCACTTGCGGCGACCTCTTCCAGCAGGCACGAACGCACAAGTATGGAAGCAGAAGGCCCGAAAACCGGGAAGGTCGGTGAGGGCAGTGATCTCAGGGATGAGCCAAAACAGGCTAGAGGCAGGATTCTCCAAGCTCCACAGCACACCATGCGACGCGCAGGCATGAATGACACGCGCGCAAAAACGGTAGAGGATATTTGCGCTCTCAACACGGGAGGCGTCGCGGTCACTCAGCTGAGGCAGGCCCAACGGATGGAGGAGTGACCGTAGGGGGGCAGCACCCCCAGCACGGGGCACCGAGCGGGCAGCGGAGGCTGTCCCGCACGGCGGCGCCAAATGGCAGTAATGCACAACCCCGGAAGCCAGCAGATCAAGGACGACCTGTTGGCAAGCGGGCTCACGCAGATCCAGCAATGTGATCTTATGGACAGCCCCAGAACAGCGAACATGATCCAAACTCAGAGCACTGAATCCAGCTGCAACAAAGGCGGCGCTGAGGCGGGCACGGCCAGCGAAAACTTCCAGGAACAGCACCTCGCGGGCAGGTCGCAAAGCCCGGTGGAAGGGAACTTGCGCAGCAGCCTGGGGCAAGGCTGGTGGAGAAGCAGCAGGAGCCGACTTCGAAGGCAACAAGAAGCCAAGGTCACACAAGAAGCCAAATGCAGGACCTGGAAGCAAATATGCATCTCGAATGGAGAAGGCAATGAGGATCACACGACGGGAGCCGTCCCAAGGCATGGTGCAATGCAACTGAGATTGAGCACGAAAGCGAACCGGCCCGTCGGCAACAGGGAGCAAACGCCCCGGGACCTCGATGCCTTCATGCAGGATCATGTGATGTCCATCTGGATCTTCGATCCAAATCTCACCACCGCGGAAGCTGGACAAAGCCGTCACCAAATTGTCGCAGGACGGCTCATTCTGCGAATCGCGATGAGGGGATGCGCGGAGCGAGTCGACAATGAGCAGCGTGGTGAAGCAGAAACCGGGCGCCACCTGCCGCACATAGCGGGCCAAGACCTTCGAAACAGCTGGAAAAGCAAAGGTGGCGCGATGCAACCCGCGCATGGCACTGAAACGGAACGCCCCAACTTGGAAACAGGAGGGCGCAAAGGAGGAACTCTTGTTGCGGCACTCGGCGGCTGGAATTAAGTCAAAAAGGTGCAACAAATCGGAGGCAGCCAAAGGCTGAATTTGTTGGTGCAAAGCATTGGCAAGAGCCTCAACACGGGCGCAGTGAGGACCACGCGGTAGGGACTCTGAGGGTTCACAAGCAGGCCCTAGTCAAGCTTTGGTTGGGCAAGAATGCTGCGGATGCTGCCCATAGCACTTCATGCAAGCATGGGACCTGGAACAGTTCGAAACCTTGCAGCCATGGGGAAGGTTGAAGTTGAAGCAAATGGGCTTGTTCGAACGATCACGAGAAGACAAGCCCTGCAAAGCTTTCGGCACCCGATCAGAAGCAGCCCGCTTTTGTCCGCGCGCCTTGGGACGGGCATGAGCGGGGCGAGGAGGAGGCGGCGTTCCGCCATGCGGGCGTTTGGAAGAGGGGCCACTGTTTGGCTTGGACTCTTCAGCCGGTCGTTTCGACGACGGAAGAGGCAACAGGTGGAACTGGACAGCCGCGAGCTCGGAACACGTCTGCAAAGCCAAATCAATCGGCAAGACACCTTCGTCATCGGGCTTAAGGCTGGCACGAACCTTGGCAATGATGTGCTCCCACATGACAGCGTCAGCCCTGACAACAGCAGCGAGAGGAACGGACGCGTACCCCGGAGGCACAGGTCGAGAACAGTGCTCCAAGAACAACTGCATAACCTTGTCATGCTCAAGAAAAGAGGCCAGGCCAGCCATTTCAAGGCAGACTCCACGACGGAAAAGCGCATTGCGTAGAGCTAGGGCGGAGCTGGTGTCAGCGTAAAGCTCAGGATCTTTGGCTTTAACGGACAAAGATGAACCTTCAAGGGCAAGAACACGCTTGTCCGTCTTGCAAGCGAGCAACTCTTGAGAGCGGGAGGTGCAGCTGCAAGGCGCTATGTACTTCAGCACAGAAGTTTCAGCCATCGTCGCACAGACATCCATGAGGGCATGAGAGGGATCCTGATCGCCAATCAGCTGGGAACCCGGGAAAGCACGAATGAAAGCATCCCTGCGCGCAGTTCGCTCGAAAGGCGGCAGTTTCCGAGGACCATCATCAACAGCCTCAACCTGGGCTTTGAGCCCCGCTAGAGTCAACGTAAGGGACTCAAAGCAGAGCTGGCGAAAGGAAGCGATCAAGCCCATTGAAGGTCGTGTGAAGATGGAATCTCGAACCTCATCAAACTTCGTTTGGTCCAGCATGCCGGGCTGGGAGCAAACTGCATATGAGAGCTTGGCCAAAGTGTCAACACCAGCATCAGTCAAGGACTGAACATGCTCTGCAGTCAACCCCGCATCCAATGCAAACTGCTTGAAGGTCGCCGTGGATTTGACCAAAGAAGCCATCCTGGCGAGAATTGATTGATGCGTAGATCATGCGTAGCATCAGGCGCAAGCGGGCACACGTGACATGAAGCAGTGGCTGAGCACGTGCATGTTGCGAAGATTTTGCACGAAAGTTTCGCGAGAGCTTCGAAGAAACTAGGAGGCAGTATGTGTACGAGTAGCGCACACACAGCACGTGCATGTTGGTCACACAAGTGACACGTGAGACTCTCATCACATATGAAATGAGCCCGCCTTGCGATTCCCGAAACACTGCACACACCGAGGATCAGAAGTGCTCGTGGAAGACCGAGCCACACTTGAACCCAAAATGCGCCCACAAAGAAGTCGTTCAGCACCAGTCTTCATCAAGTGACAAGTTCCTGTTCGTGGGTTTTGGAGCACGGAGCAATCATCTCCAACATCAAGCAAAGGTGGGCGTAAATGTGCTGGTACAAGATCGATCAGCATGTGCTCATCAGAAACGACTGGCGTAACCCCATCATCCACCTCGCTCGAGTCCGAGTCCGATGAAGAGTCAGACTCGGAAGAAGACTCCCGTTCAGAGTCGTGAGCGGACTCGCACGAAGCCATCTGCGTCGAGACAGGTGATGCCATCGGAGAAGGAATGTAAGAAGCATCCGAGAGATCACCGAAAGCGGAAGCATGAAGATCACCGCTGGGCATAGTGGCATTCGCTCGTGGGTCGGAGCCGGGCGGCTGAGCAAGATCAGCCATCTCTTGCCGCGAGCAAAGTCCAGAGCGGGAAATTCCTGACCTCGAATCATCAAGAAAGCCACTGCGTGTCGAGTCAGGATCGAAGAGGCCCGAAACTATTGCCTGCAACATTCTGAAAAGTGCACGTAGAGGACCAGCAAGACACTGACGAGCATAAATCTCAGTCGAAAGAGCATCACGAGGGAGATGGTACCCAAGAAGACGTCTGGCATGGACATCAATCTCGTACTTCGCTGACCATGAAAGCAAAGTGACCTTCAGAGAGTGGCTCGAAACCCTTTGGCCAGGCCGAATCTCTAAAACATCGTTGAGAAGTCTTGTCACCGCTGCACTCGAAGCCGGCTCCGGAAGGACCTCACCATCTTGATTGAGTTGGGGAATGATGGGCAAAAGAACGTCAAGTCTGTTGCGATCGCGGAAATCATTGCGAGCTTGCAACCAACGAGTCCACCACTGAAGACCCGAAAGAGAAGTCAAAGGGGCAGCAAGCGGGAGGGGAAGGCGTCTCCTTCTCCCTGTAGCAGTCTTGTGAAATTTGCTTTCAACTTCAATGAAGCCCGGGAAGCCAGCTTCATACAGGAAAGAAGTCGCACGTCTGATGTCAGAAGAACGAGCTCGAGCATACAAGGAGAAAAGCACCCCCCCATACACCAGCACCTCCGTCTCAGCCGGGGCCTCGAAGCACAACGATTCCAGATGCTTGACCTGCCGAACCAATAAGGCATCGGCCTTACGCGAAGGCTTTGGCGGAGCCTGCACCTCTATCTGCACGGCCTGGCCGCGAACGCGAGGGCTCTGGGTAACCACTTCGAACCAGGATATGTGGAACACGAAGCGCATGAAAGAAAGGGCAGACAAGAGTGACTGGCCAGCGCTCATGGCTGCGCCCTCGACCTCCATGGCCAGCAAATGGTCATACACAACCTGTTCCAAAGCAGCAGGCGTCTCGCAAAGCCACGCTTCGGGTGTAACTGAAGCGGCAAGACGCTCCAGCGGCCCGATGTGCTTGAGAAGCGTGGCAGTGGCCTTGCCGGCGAAGACCGAAGAAAGAAGGCGCCCCAGAGGACGAAGAGGTCCTTGCCCATGGTATCCTGGAAAATCGAAATTGCGTCCAGCGGCAAAAATCAAAGCCTCGTATCGAGCAATCACTGCTGCACGCCGATGATCCTCATTGCGAGGCTGGAGCTGACGATGCACCTGAAGGCCACGCAATGCAAAGGGCACCGTCTCAGCGTCCCGCAGACGCTTGGCCGGAGCGGGGCCAACAGCAACGTCACCTAGAGCAAGAGGTTGTTCGGCGTGGCTGCTGTCAAGGCGCCAGCGGGGCCAGCGCAAAGGGGATTGCATGGCAGGGTTAAATATGTCGGCCAGATGCGGGGTCTCCCACGGAAAATCAAGACTCGCATCAGCAGGCCCAAAAGCCGCAAGGCGGGCCAAGTCACTTGAACTTCGCTTCATCTTGAACCCGAACAAAACTCAGCGCATACGCTGGGGTTCACACAGCGAGAGTGCAAGACAAACAAGGATGGAAACATGCCAGAAGCACGTTCGTGCCCGAAAAAGCCTGACAGCAGGGCCAGTGGGCATGAGAGGCAGGACACTCCACAAATGGAGCATGCACATGAAGATAGCGGGCCTCACTCAGAAATTGCACAATGCCCGAAGCAGCCAAGGCTTGAGCATGAACATGAAGCATCCGCATGCGGAGGCGAGCACTCAAGCACAGTACATGAAGCGAACGCAACGGACAAGCAAGGTCTGACACTGATTTTGCCCAGTGCGCCCGTGCAGTCATCTTGGGGAGCGGGAACGGCTCCGCTGAGGGAAGCGCCATTCACGAGTCGAAGCAGTAGTGCACGAAACAGATACAGTCTCCACAGAACACCCTAAGAGCCAGGCCTTCTCACCATCGGAGAGTTCCGCAAAGATCTCCGACAAAGGTCGCTGAACATCCATTGTGGGCGGCGGCAGACGTAACGGGGAACCCGAGCGGCACGACGAGCAGATCTCCTGTACGGGGTCAGACATCTCACAGAAGGCGTCGATGGCGTAGTGGCTTAGCAACCAGGCACGGCAGCGATCAGGCCAAGGCCAAGAATCAAGCTGCGCCACGAGCTGCTGAGTCAACATGGAACACAGAAGCACCGCAAGGCTCGAGCCGACTCGTGCTCACAAGTGGCAAACCGCATTCGGGATGCACAAGCACACAGAGTGCAAAGCAGCGATAAAATGCACTGAAGCTTTGGCCCAAGAAGATCACTGCAAAGGTGGCGCGTCAAGGAAAACATGCCTGTACACATACGGAAAGAAATCAAGAATTGCGTCTAAGACCGCAAACCCAGCAAAGCCCTCTCCAAGACCCGTACACGGTGCATCAATGAACTGCGAGAGCCTGGGCTTTGCAAGAAACCTACTTGATCCTCCAAATCATCAACACGACCTGCCAAGCCCATTATCAATGCAAGCATGTCGTTGAGCGGAAAACGAGGTGGAGTGAACTCAGACTCCGAGCCCGAAAGGGCCATTGGGGGACTTGGAGGCGTCTGTCCACACTCTGAATCAGAAGAACGTATGGTAGGCATCACACATGCGCGGGCAGTAGCACGGCAGCCGGCTAGTTGAAGTCGATATGCACGAAGATCCGCTGGGACAGGCAGACGTTGCACATGTTCAAAGACCAATGGATGAAAGGCGTCAGAAGAACTGAATGCCTCAAACTCATCTGGCACAGCACCCTGAATGGTCGAAAGAACTGCAAGTGGGACTTCTCCGCCGTGCTGCTGTCGGCGTTGACACAGCTCACAGGCTCGCATCGCAGCGAGCTCAAGCCCAGCAGGCCTGACACAAGAAGGATCGGCCATGGTCGAAAGTTCTCAGGGGTATGCAACACGCAAACCCCACTGAGCTTGAATCGCCAGAACCAATGCAGCAGTAATCAAGAAATTGCAAGTGGGTGTGACATTTGCACAATAGGGCAAGCAGCTGGCTAATGTGCGGGCATTTTGCACCGTGCGCACCATATGACTTCAAAAATTTCTCTCTCAAGGCTCATGAGCCAAGCTGCAACAAGTGAAAACTTTGGCAGACATTTAAAAAGGAATCGCATGACGTGTGTCCCAAAATTTCTTCATCAAGAAATATCAACACACTCAAACTTAAAGCTATAAAAGCTCATCCGATGGAAAAAGCCATATCCCAGCCAAGCATCTGGCCCCATGCCTTGGAAAAAGATCTTGTTCTTGTACTTGGATGCCAAAAATGTCCACATATTGCCCTCAACTCTCAGCACCGTTCTCAGCTCTTCTGTATGTGAGGGCATTACCCCTTTGTTCTTCTGTTTGACGATCCTGACATGACCTCCAGTATCTACTGTCGTCTGTATCCCCATGGTCTTCACCTTCTTCTTGGATGTCACTTCAGAAAGGGCACTAGCGGTGATCTCGCCACTCTCGACCTCCTCAAGCTTTGCAGAGATGTAGTCGTCAGAAGGCTCGAATGCCTCCTCGAGCGTCCCGTGGGCTGCCTCATACGCAACCCTCATAGCCTGCTTCTCAGTCTGCGTCACTGGTCTGCTGACGCCCAGCACGCGCGCCTCTGCCCTCAACTCCGTTTCCTTGCTGGCGACCTCGCGCGATGTCTCCCAGGCTGAAACCACTGCTGCAACGACAGCTCTGCTCGCCTGGTCCGTGGCCTCCAACTGGTGATCATCTTTCAAAGCAGTGCGCACTTCGCCCCGTGTGTCAGCGTATGTCGAGAATCGCTTCACTGATTTGAAGTTTTGTCCCAATCGATACTGCAACCCCAAAGGCATTCCGCATTCTTGGAAAATATGCACCAGATCAGAACTTACCTGCTTATCAAGAAAATCAAGGGCTTGGTCCTGGGTGACCCCTGTTGGCAACTCTGCTGGCCCAGGAGCCGGCGCCGCTCCGGCCATTGCACCAGGTGCTTCTCAGCACAGCGTCCCCGCACCTCAGCACATGCACAGTGGACCTATGAAAGAAGCAGAAAATCTCGGAAAATTCGAGCCATCAATCTGCGTACGAACCTCACATGTGCACCTCCAACAGTGATGGCAACCCCGTTGCGGGAGGTCAGGCACTACAAGCTCGTCTAGATGCTGTCCCCTCCCCAGCAATCTCACTCTTTATTGCGTGCTCTCCTTCCGGCACGTCTTGCTCCAATCGAGCACTGCGCTCTGCTGCCTCCTGCAGAGCTTCCTACCAAGAATCCAAGAGTCAGGCGCCTCCAGCCCAAGGTGCAAATCAGAGATCCTGATCATGCCCCAAGCCTCCAGCCAAGGGCCCGAGCCCAAGGCCTCCACCGAAAGGCTCTGGCTCAATAGCCTCCTGCTCACCTTCAACAGTGTCCTCCGAGCCACTAGTTGAAGACTCTTCGCCTATCTCCACCCGCGGCTTGCACAGCTTACACATCGCATCAGCAATGCCCTCTCCAAGGTGGAAAACTGGAATGGTCTCGAGGCACCTCTCTCTCCGGACTGCACAACGCTTGGAAAGATGCAAACGTCTGAACCCTCTCCGAGAGACAGTCAAGAAGTACGGCGCCTCGTCCTCGTCCGGCTCTGCTTCGAAAGCCTCATATTCTCCAGGGAGCTTCGCCTCGAGCTCCCCTTCGGCAATCGGAACCCTCTCCGGGTTCACAGCAAAAGCAGGATATTGTCCCCCCAGCAACCAGGTCTGTTTGTGTCCATCCCATTGCATCACCGTATTTGCGCCGACGATCTCCTCGCCATTCAATCCAATGTCATCAGCAAAACTCCTTAAAGTGCAAAGCAGCTCCTCCTCAATGTAACCGCCTCCATCGCCCCCCAATAGCAGTGTCTTGCAAACAGTGGTCTGGATCGCCTGGACCACCTGACGCGAAGTGAGGACGTAATCCTGTGACCCATGTTGAGCATACGCCCATCGCCCCAGATAGTCACGCCGGTCCTTTGATATCCCGATGGCGGCTGCAATGCTCACCACGAAGTGACGAGGACTGTGCCCTGTCCAAAAGTTTGCGACGTCGCCAGGCAGCAGCAGCTCTCGTTTCACCTTCCAGGTTCCCATTTGCCTCACCGGTGTAGGCAACTCCTTCAGCAAACGCCTCAACTGCAAAGCGAGGCCCTCCGCGTCCATGTATTCTCTCTTTGGCTCATCCCACTCATTTGTAAAGCAAGGGCATAGAAAATCTCGCGCCCATGAAAATCGTTCAGAAGTCAGCAGCTTGAAACCTTCCCCGAGCCAGTCAAAGCCACTGAGTCCCACGACCCGAGAAATGAACCCATGCAGCTCACCAACCTTGCGCCCAGGTCCACTCGTCTTCGTCTTCCTAAGGATGAACCTCAGTCCGACCTGGCTCAGCTTCACACTGGCTGGATTTGACGTTTTGCATATCATCTGCGCGCAGGCTTGCCCATACCATGACCAGCAAAATGAAAGCCATGAATCGCAACCCAGGTGGGTACAAAGGCCTGCAAACCACCAGCTCGCATATTAGCACGACTGAAACAGGCAACATTGCAGCTGCCTTTGGTGCAGCCTGATCGACTTCCAGCTCGGCTGTCCAAGACTTGATGCTCTCAAGCAGCAAGGGGTCCTCGCAAAGGCGTTTGCCAGCCGGTACCATCCCAACGCCTTCCAAGAGTGAAAGGCTTGCCAGGATAGATTTGGGAACACTCTTTCCCATCCTGTGAATCTCATCTCTCTCCTCAAGATATCTCAAGATCACTCCAGCATCCACAGGCCAAGAAATTCCCAATGAGCCCTGCAACCAAGCCCTAACCGGCTTCCAAGCTCTCGCACGATTTCGCAGCGTTTTTCCCCTACGTCGTCCAAAAGCTCTTAACCAGAAATGATTGTCATTGCCCAATGCAGCAATCCGCTCTGCGGCAGGCAGCCCTGCCTCCTGTATAATGGCGACAAGCTCGAGAGCCCACTTCTCACGCAACTTGTTCTCTACCTCCTCTTTGTCCCCATGGGCCCTAGCTGCTCTGATTGCACGCTTCAGCAGGGACAGCGCAACAGCAGGGGTGGTGTTGACTGCCTCTTCAAAAACCGCAGTGATATCCTTCTGGGAACGTGGAACACTAGCAGCGAACTCAGGTTAGCGTCTCTGCAAAAGCACTACCTCGGACGGCCTCCTCTTCAAGCGCGACTGCCTCCATGCCCAGAGCTCCTTTGAAATGTTTTCGATATCGCCTGCTGTCCTCTTTCCAGCAGGAAATTCCTCCACAGTAGATTTAGCCCCAGCTTCATCTTCGAAGGAACCATCAAACTGCAAAAGATTCTTGTACGTGTCAGTAACAGCAGCAAAAAGGCCATCATCAATCTTCCGCAGTCCAGCCCAATTAGACATGTCGGAAAAGAGCCCACATCAGCCCAGCAATTCCCAACAGTCCATGAGCCGCAGGTCCCCTCCCCCTCACTAACAAAATTTTTTATGCTTGCGCCACAAAGGCAACGAGGCCTGACATTTCACAAGTCAATGCATGCTGCAAAAAACCGTCTTGTGCACATCTGATGAATCCGAAGCGAGAAGCAACTTTCAAAGGACTTTTCAAAGCACAAGTTTTCCCCCATCCCAGCCCGCCCTAGTTCAAACAGAGGGACAATCCCGTTGGGGGAACCCAAGTGGTAAGGTGAAGTTCCTGCAACATGAGAATGTCTGGGGACAAGGTATGGACCCACTTCCTGTGACTCGACCGCCAACGGGTGACATTGGCCGAGCAGACCTTGAGGTTCCTAGGTTTAACGTCACAAGAGTTTGCTGAAAGATCCTCCGAACCTCGAAGGACAAACACCCAGTCACTTGGATTAGGACTGGAGGAAGCAAGGGCCTGGAACATTTTGTGGACCACCAGATACTCCAAGGTCAAGCGGTCGGTTGGTTCATCGTCCTCAAAGAGGCCTACCATGCTAGACTCCACGGATTGAAAGCGCTGCGTGAAACCACAAAACGCCAGGCCTGCCAGCTGGGCCCACTTGTCTTTGTTTTCATACGGAGCCGTCGTGGTCCAGGCTACAATAGCTGACTCCAGAGGTTCCCTAGCCTTAAGAGGCCGGGCCATTCTGTTTCGGCGTCGTCGAGTTCGTCTGCTACGGCAAGACGACTGGGTACCTGTTGGGCGGTGTCCACCTCCTATGACGAGGGGTTCGTGCAACTGCATGTCACACATAGCCTCCAGGGGAAAATACCTCGGCCCCGTCACCAAGGGATGGTGGACCACCTCATATTGACATAGCTCTGCTAAAGAAATTGGCACTGGTGAGGGATCTTTGGTTGGTACACATTCCGCTCCAAACGAAACCTGCCCCAACCCTGAATCCCACTCCTTATGGAGGGGCTGACCCCTGCACATGTCACACAGAACCGCATGTCTAGATGACCGGGCATAGCTTGGCAACTCAACCAGGCAGCTCTGACACGCAGGCACCATGGAACATTCGTGGGAGGCCCATCCTCGGCACAGCCGACACAAAACTGCAAGCGCAAGACCGTCCCCAACCTGGAAAAGGGTGTGGCACGGGTCCTCCCCGGCCTGGCACCTGCAGACCTCACAACAGCTGAGGCTGAATATGTCTGCTTGGGAAGGTGAACGGCAAAACGTCTCACGCAAAGTAACAAAATTTGGGCCAAGGGGAAAAACACGGGCTGTCGGGGAGAGAGACGACTGGGACAAGTGTGGGGAGAACAGGTTATCCCTGGAACCCAAAACCCCCATCGCCCTACCATCCCCTAACCCTTCCCCCTACCCTGTCTGCGATGCCTGACCCGGGGCTTGACCCCCCGTTGGCTTCCCTGGTGGGGTCCGACTTCGGCCTCTTGCTTCGGTGTCAGGCAAACCAGATGCCTGCGAGGGTGGCAGACCTGGGGGAAGGCCCGGATCAACCTGCATGCGTCTTCGCTTGGCTTCATCGGACTTAAGAGCCTCCAGCTTCCTCTTTTGCTCTTCGGAAAGACTGGACTCCTGCATGCCCAACGCCTGCAGGACAGATTCCACCCCATTGTTGACCTCTTCCGCGCAGTGCTTGACCACTTTGTCTTCATACTCCTTGGTGGTCTTCGCGACTTCCACCTTTGCCTCCTCGATGGCATTCTGGATGTCCTGCATCTTGTGAAGCATTGCTCGCAAGTTGTCCTTTGCTGCGTCGATCTCCTCCTGCAGTCTCAGTTTCCTTTGACCCAGATCCCGGAGCTTGCCCACCGAACTACGAAGAACATCCCCAGCCTCTTTACCCTCCTGGCGAGGGTCCGGGGTTGGGGTTGGCCGGCAGGGCATCCACGATGACCTTGGGAAGGTCTCCGACATGCTGCTGCAAGAGAGCAACAAGGTCCACATCCTCTGCGCGAGCAGGCTGGGCTTCAAACCCTGCTTCTTTCAGCTGCACACAGGCCGCTTCAGGAAGAGTATCCCATACCTTTCGCAAGCAGTCGTGAACCTTATTGGGCTTAGGCTTGCGAGGTCGGGGCTTCGGCTCCGGCTTGGACCAGAACTTGGGGATGGGCACATCCGTTGGCCACTTAGTTCCACACCACTGACACTTGGGGAACTTGGGCACCTTTGCCGCGAAGATCCAACTGGCCGGGCCACACTTCTTGCAAACGTGATAACGTCCACCAGCCATGGTGGCTGTGAAGAGGCCCCAAGCCCTAAAGGCTGGGCTCAGATGTTGGACTTGTTGAGTTCGGCACACCACTTCTGCCGGCGAGCCTCCGACAAAAGTTGCCCGGCGTTTGCAATCCAATCGTTCCGGGTCTTGGACCAGCGAGCCAAAGCACGGAGTTGGTTTGTTACCCTCTGCCCCGGTGTGAGGTCGCGGGCACTAGGCTGTTCCTCAAACTCGGCTTGCAAATAGGACCTGATCGAATCCTCCAAGGGAGCTCTCTCGGCTACCCCAAAGCTCTGCACCTCAGGGGTGCGGGATCGCTCTCTTCCCGCCGTGGGTGTGGAGGACCGCAGCCCTAAGGCCGAGAGAAAACAGGCCCGAGCCCTGAGGAGGTGAGTGCAGTGCAGCCGCAGCCCTGAGGCTGGGTGAGTGCAATGCAGCCACAGCCCAGAGGCCGGGTGGGTGCTCTGGCACAGTATGGCTCAAGCGAATAGGCCGAAAACAAAGGAGGCCCGGTCCCTTAACCCAGTTGAGGCCCAGAACCCAGGTTCACAGCTACTCGCTCAGCTACTTCGCCTACCCCACCGGGGTTTGAGCAGAAACTTGAGCCAGGTGAATTTTTCTTCAGCAAGCGCAAAGCGTTACCCAGGTGAATTTTTCTTCAGCAAGCGCAAAGCGTTACCCAGTGGGCGTCCTTCATGCAAACGAATTCGCCCGGAGCCCCTTTGGGGCGAGACATTGTCTCTCGGGCAGTCGGTCACCCTGTACGGCAAGAACCACAGCTCAAAAGCCGGGAAGTGGTGCACCCACAGGCCATCTACAGGGAACTATGTTACTCAGCAGGAAGGAGTTGCAGCCTCAGCCCAATGGCTGGGAAACTGGATGCCCCCAATGAAGCAGCTCTGGTTTCCACAGCCTCCTAGGCCGGGGTGGTACACAGCCAGCGAACTTCTTCCCCCAACCCAGGGTGTTGCAAATTTGGTCAAAACACGCCTGGGGTGGACCCCTGGAAACTTGCCGAAAGTAGCCCGCCTTGTGGGGGCAGTATTTGGCAACTACCCTCCAAAAGCCCGTCCATTCCGGCCTCCCTTGGGAGGGGCCCCAGTTGTTGGCATCGATGAAGGCCGGAAGGGGGACCAACCTGGTGCCTGGCGGCCTGTGGCTCAGGTTTGAAATGCCAACATCCTTGGCATCTACCCCACAGGCATACAAATGCAACAAGGTGGCCAACGTGGCTAGAAGGTAGGAGTGCACACGGAGACCATTGGCAGCGTTTTCCTGAAGCCAGTGGCGGGCCTGGCAGCGATGCTCTTGCACGTGGTACAGGAAACGATGCAGGCCCGCACCTGGCACACCTTCGGGTCCTAGTCCAATCCACATGGAGCCGCTAGTGAGGATGGGAGCAAGGAGCCGAGGAAAGCGCCGTGCCATATCAATCTCCGGACCGTTCAGGGATTCGTCTTTAAGTTTTCACAATGATTCCCAATCTATTCCAAAATATGTTCATGAAGAATCTAGATCACATAAACTCTGTACGAGGACGCTCCCCTCTTTTTTCCACGGTCAGGGGTCAATCAAAAGCGAGGCGTTCGAAGAGTGAAGAGTTCTTTCGAAGGTTTTCGGTTGGAGCACCCAGCATGTATGCGTTGAGATGCGCACTGGCTGTTTAGGTGCATATTACCGATTTGCCCCAACACGCATAACCCCCCCTCTCCAAATCGGTAAGGAAAAACTCCGAGGGTGGGAGGGCGGGTGAAAAACTTTAGCATAGCTCAGCACTAGCATTGTCCATATCTGCGTACATCATGGACTGCCATGCAATGTGTGCCAGTGCGAAACGAGCCATGCTGAAAGAACGGCGCGGCAGATTAATGTCAGTCCCTCGGTGGGGCATGCCAGGGGTTTCCGGGGATTTACAAAAATTCCGGGAATTTTCAGGATTCCCCGGGTTCCCACATCAGTCTACAAATCACCGGTAAACACACTCTTGTGCTTGTGTCTTCAAACACATACAAGAGAAACGGAAGTCGAAGTTCAAAATACAGTTTGTAAAGATTTTGGAAATCATTGCTCAGCTCAACCGGCTGCTATGAAAACAAAAAGACAACTTCGTCGCTTCGCGAAAACGCCGTCTTTAAGTTTTCACAATGATTCCCAATCTATTCCAAAATATGTTCATGAAGAATCTAGATCACATAAACTCTGTACGAGGACGCTCCCCTCTTTTTTCCACGGTCAGGGGTCAATCAAAAGCGAGGCGTTCGAAGAGTGAAGAGTTCTTTCGAAGGTTTTCGGTTGGAGCACCCAGCATGTATGCGTTGAGATGCGCACTGGCTGTTTAGGTGCATATTACCGATTTGCCCCAACACGCATAACCCCCTTTAAAAGTGACCGTAACTATTTGAGGAGTTCCCAGGGTATCTGTACAGTAGCCATGCACTTCGCGCACAGACTCTCGATACTAAGCGCAGTCTCACGACCTTTGATCAGGGCTGCTGTCTCCGTAACCAAACCACGACTCGGAGGATCTGCAATGTTACTCTGAGAAGGCACACGCTCCAGCCAAGTGACTCCCTGATCTTCATTCTCGAGCTCGAAGAAGATCGAAGCCAGTAGCAGCATCGTTCGGGATCTGCTTCCCCCTTTAATCAGAACTTCTCTCGCTCCTTCGTTGTCCACGAAATAGATGGCCCTCCTTCCCGTGAGCAGGCGAGAGAAGGATTGTCGGGCTGCAACCACAGCGAACGCCTCGGCCTGCCCGATCACCTGTTCAGGGCTATCCAGCCGCCAGAACCTAACCAGCGAATCCGGAATCCTCCCTCCAGCGACCAACCTTGTGTCGGTGAAGCGATCAATTACCACCACGCCATAAGATGCGATCCCATGTTCATAGGCAGCGTCAGTAAAGATCACCACGGGACTCACGGGTCCCCTGCAGGCAAAGATTCTAGGCGTACAGGCGTCTATGAGATCCACCCCAAAACTGCAGAGCGAGCGCAAGTCAGAAACGGTCCGCATCCCAGGATCGCGAAGAAAACTTCCCAAAGCCCTTTGTAGCAACTTCAGACCTCTTCCCGAAGCGAATCCGACAGCGAAGTTGACTTGCCCTTGCAGCGATTGGATGGAGTGAATGTCCCATTTGCCACTCAAGCTCATCCTGAGAAGTGCGTCTTTCATCCTGTCCAACCTGCTAGGCTTGTTGTGCAAGGAGACCACGCCATCAGCGATGCCGCCAGCATTCAGCCTAATCCCCAGAAGGTCGAAGGTCTCTTCGAAGGGCAGCGACTTCTCAGGCTCAGTTGAGTACTTCCACCCAAGCTTCCGAAGCATATGCTCAAATGACTCTGAAGAAAGTTTTGCCGAAGTGTCTACCTCCAGAAGAGGAAAGTCGTCGTAGAAGCATCCAGAAACCAGACCGAGAAGATGCCAGCTCAGGTGCAAAATCGATCTCGACAGCCTGTTAAAAGCGAATACCGACGAAGTAGCCCCGAAGGGGAGGCTCTGCGCCACGAAGTAGCGGTGTTGTCCTGTCGAAGGTTCCGTGACCATGACAACGCCAAACTTCAGTGAATCACACGACAGTGGAACTTGTCGGTAAGCTTTTTCAAGGTCCAGCGTGCGTCCCAGCCATCTAGGTGGCCGAGACTTCCATTGTGGATGAATTTCGCCCCTGAGCACCTCACCACAGCTGAGCTCCACTTCCAAAGGCGATGAAGGATCAGAAACTCTAGCTATGTACGTGCTGATGGCTGTCATCCAGTTGACATCAAAGAGGGCAAGCTTCTCCAAGCAGTGGTAGGCCTCGTTGACGCCCCCCTCCTTGTAGTTGTCGATGGGTCTGGCCTTCGGCCTTTCCGGGGTCCCTTGCTCTATGAGGAAACGCCGCGAGCACACGAACTCGTCGACTCCCAGGTGCTCCCTGACCTCGTTCTCAGAGGCAAAGGGGCCTTTCAAGAAACCGTTGTCTCTGTCTTTGATCGTACAGTCCCACAGCTTCTGCCTAGCTGCGGCATCGTCCTTGTGCGGGTCACGCCCTTTGAGTCGCTCCCTTCTCCAGCTGGCAGATTCCAAAAGAAGGTTTCCGTCAGAAGTTGCCGGGACCTCTTTGACGTCGAACAGCGGCGACTTGTCGGGTTTGCCCACAAGATCCACCCCCTTCATCAGCTCGAAAACGCCCTTGTCGGCAAACAACGTTTCCTCCAAAAGATGCGCCCAAAGCAACAAATTCTTGTCCTTGACCACCTCGCGAACATGCTCGGGCAGCACGGAATGCAACCGCGCCTCTTCATAACGAAGTTCTTTTTCCAGCTGGTTCAGTTTCTGAAACATCTGAACCCTTTCCGAAGCGAAAGCCGTAGGTCCCTCCGTCAGTCTCCGAAAGATGTTCCTCTTCACTGCATCAGGAACACAGTGCTGGACGTCGAAGGGGTGGTCAAGCTCCAGTGCACATTGAACGAATTCCTGAGGCGTTCTATACACCCCAAACCTCCCGCTAGAACCCTCTAAATCGGAGGTGAACTCTTTAAAGGGCCTATCCAAAGGAGGGGTTGCGCTAAACTCGAGGAACTCCGGGAGGAGTTTGCGGGTGCCCTTCTGCTGTGGCCACAAGGGTCGAGGGCCTGCTGGGGGGTCAAGTCGGCCTGGCAGGCCCGCTGCAGCGGAAAGGAGGGACGCCATCTCGTAGCACAGTCCCGCGGGATACTCGGCTTCCTGGGCAGTGGAGAAACTCCAG